ACCTAAGAGGCTGCATAACTTTCATGTGCACCAGGAAACCAAAACCATTCACGTGACTCGCTTTATTGCGGTGGTCTGGAGCCAAAGCATCCGTCCGAGCTGTGCTTTGAGGATGAATTAGGTAAATACAAACAACGAATTTTTGTTAGTTAACTTCTTTCACCCAACAGATTAGCACAAACTTAAAAAAAAAAAAAAAAAGCAAGTGTTGGGTGGTCAACCAGCTCTCCATGTGAGGACAAAGCCAAAATGAGGCACAATATGGCGGCATTCCGCAAGACCAGCAATCTGTGCATCCCACACAGCCTGGCGATTCTCCCAGGAGGATGCAAATATAACGAAATATTCAGGGATGTTGACCGCGATGTGTCTCTGTGTGCGTGCGTGTGTGTGTGGGGGGGTCTTTGTACTGTAAGGTTGTGAGTGTGACTGGACATTACTTCTGTCCCCTGGTGCAGAGGCTTTTCTGGGCTGACTTTGTGTTGAACTGTAACGTTCCCCGTCCCACTGAAGACTCTCGGGCCAGCCGCATGGCCACAAAGGGGCTGCCGTGACGTGCATCATTAAATCCACGTGAATGATTACAACGCTCGCGGGCCGTTCATTTTTCAAGTACGTGTCATCTTCCGAGGGTTAGAAAAAAAAGCCCCTCTTGTCCGTAAAAACTATTTCCCAGTATATCGTACCCTCCCAGGAGGACTTCTGGAGACCTGTAAGCACACACTCTCTTATCAATCACAAGAATTGGCAAAGGAGATCAAAGAGCGCTCTCTGTTGCTTCACGTGAGACGGACACCCAGGTGTGACAAGAAGCCACACGGGAACTCGGGGAGGTGAGTCTCTCCCACGTCTCCTTGTACGGTGCCCCTCGGACATCTGGGCGTCCAAAGGGTTCCAGGGTGCTGAGCGGCTCGGAGTCCTCCCCGACCAAAGACAGCAGCAGCCTCACCTCTAACCCTGTCTGTAAGTCACACAAGGCATGTGCTTTTTCTTCCTCCTAAAAGCAGCCACTGTCATTGGAAAATCTCAGCAGGAACAAACACCACACACGCTCCACGTGGGCGGTGGTCAGTCTCCTCTGGGGGAAAACATGAGCACTAAAAAAAGTGCCAGGAACCCTCTGTGATATCCCACCCCGAAGCTCACACTCTGCATGGGCTGAACTCCTCTGCTAACTGCATTGTTTTTTTTTTTTTTTTTTTAGTTTTAGAAAAAACATGTTTATTTTATTTATTTTATTGAGTTACGGTCAGTTTACAATGTTGGGTCAATGTCCAGTGTAGAGCATGGTTGTTCAATTATACATGAACATACATATATTCACCGTCACATTTTTTTTTCCACCATGAGCTACCACAAGATCTTGTATACATTTCCCTGTGCTACACAGTATAATCTTGTTTATCTATCCGATAGGTACCTGTCCGTATTTGCAAATCTGAAACTCCCAGTCTGTCCCTTCCCACCCTGCTACCCCCTCGCAACCACAAGTCTATTCTATGTCTGTGAGTCTGTTTCTGTTTTGTATTTATGTTCACTTGTCTTTTTCTTTTTTTTTTAACTGCATTCTTTATTTTTTTTTTTTTTGAACAAGAGGCTGCCAACTAGCACATTATCCAGAGGAAGAAAAGTGCTTCTCCCTCCCCTGCCAAAATCAAGTATTTTAATATCCCCATGCAACAAAAAAAAAAAAAAGTGTGGAAACATCGTCAACTGAGAATTCAGAAACCAGCAAAGCACTAAGGGAAATAACAGGCAATTATCCTTTATCTGAGCCAACATGCAGGCCGGATAATGAAACTCACTTCCTCTGCCCAGTGGGCAGAGACCGGCGCCCACAGGGCAGAGGGGTGGGAAGCTGGAGAAATCAAGCCGACACTTGCTTGGGTGTGGGGGTGCCAGGGAACCCCCAACCCACCCAAGTCTGTTTGCGCTGGCGTTTCCGGTTTTCAAACAGTGCGTGCAGACCGCCTCCGGGAGAGCTGTGAGGCTGGGGACCCATGTCCCAGCCATTTCTCCCCAAGGTCCCCCTGGTACCAGCCGTTTTAGGGTCTGGAATGGGGTTTTTCTAACTGGAGGAAGAAAACAGAATCAGAACACCCAGCAGCCAACAACCTAGAATTCTTAATACTTATAAACACCAGGGTTTCGCAACTTAACATCTGGGGCCGGGTGACTCTCTGATGGGGGGGCGTCCTGTGCACTGTGGGCTGTGCAGCTGCGTCCCTGGTCTCCACTCACCACACGCCAGGAGATGCCCCCCTCCCTGAGTTGTGACAACCAAAAAAAATGTCTCCAGACTTTGCCAAGTGTCCCCTGGGGAACCGTGCTCTATTTAAAGTTGAAGCAGCTTCTTTCCTTCTCCACAACCCACGGAAACGTCCGGAGAAACCTGGTCCCAGTGTTCTCCAGGACTCTGAAAGAACGCCGGGGCTCTCAGCCCTGAAGTGAAGAGCTGTCCTTGACTCAATGGACTTTTGTAGCCAGAACGGAAACCAAACCTCTATTTCTAGAGGGAAGTGTGTCCTCAGCTTCTCCCCTGATAAAAACCCCATTTGTATCTCTCGGGAATAGCCCGTCCCTGCCCCGGACCCCAGAAGGATCCGGCAGGGGAGAGGGGGTGGGGCAGGAGGCCAACTTGTAGGAAAGCTCTGTGCGTTCTCTGCTTTTTGGGGGCGAGTCGGGATCCCCTCCCCTCCCCTCCCTCCTCCACTGCTCTGTGCCTCTGCCACCCCACTGCCACTAAAACGTCAAACTTCCCCATCCTTGGAGTGGCCAGGAACAACCTGCCTAGAAATCAGGCAATTTCGGGTTATGGCTACTGTGGGTTTTTCTGAAAATTATCATATGGCTTGCCGGGGTGCCCCCAAAATATAGGCCGTACATTAAAACTGTCAAAAATGGTCTCACCCCAGAGCGCTTCAAACCCAGCCAAGTGCTCACACTGGCCAAGGTGGTGTTCTTGGCCGCTGAGTCCTTGAATTGTGTGGCTGTCACCGTCTTTGTCGTCCGACATCCTATCTGACCCATGAGATGTTTCTCTCCCCCCCCCTACCCGGGCGGATGGTACTTTTCTGGGCGACCAGAAGCCCTTCTGACCCATTTGCCTGGAACCCAGCGCACTGTGAAGGCTCCGTGAGGACTTAACTCATGAAACTGGAATGAAGGCATAGCCTGAAGGATGCATGGAAAATTCTTGTGGGTAGATGTCACTCAAACACACAGCAGAAACAAGACCCCGTGGAACGTTCGTGGTGGGGCAGTCAGGTGGGATTTGGCGAAGGAAAGCAGGGACCCGTTCCTGGCCCTCCCCACCCAGCCAACTCTAAACTCTTCCAAGAGGTCCCCGGGGGTCAGGCTGGATTTTTTTTTTTATGATTCTCCACCAGAACGCACAACTTCTAGAATGCATGGGACACATCGAAAAAAGTGCACACATCAATGTGCAAATCCTCTGGAGAGCAAAAACGGGGGAGTCAGGGTCGGGTGGGGCAGAATTCAAAATCCAGCCTCTAGCGCTGAGCTGGAAATTTCCAGGTGCAGACCAGGCCCTCTCTGCCCTGTGTCTGGGTCCTAAAGTGTGCCCACCCCCACCCCCCTCTCCTGAATCCTAAAACGACGCCGGCCTGTGTGCCTGTCCACTGAGAAGCAACCATGTCAACAAGGAAAAACCGACCCTTAACTGCAGAGAGCGAGGATTTTTTTAAGCCACGCCCAGCAGGACCCCAGCACTTCAGAGAGAGACTGCAGGGAAGTTAAGACCTCGACTTCCATTTTAAAAGGAGAAGGAGAAAGATGCGGGCGACGGCGGGGAGGAAGCCAGCTTCGGCGGCGAGCGTGGGGGCCCTGGCGTCCT